GTGAGAAAAACCGGTGGCGAGGACCGGCTGGTGAGGTTCGGACCATCGATGTTTAAAGATGGAAACACATGAGTGTTTGGCTGAGTTGCAGTTCTTGGTGCCCACCAAAGTGCGTGTGTAGGACCATATGCAAGGTTTGGACTTTGCAACCTTTTTCCATCCTGCAGTTCTTGGAAACCATTCCTTGAAAGGTTTGCTTTGCGGGCGATCCCACAGCATGCTGACGGGTGCATCATATGGTGCCACATGTGAAGGCATCAGGTTCGTATTCCGGTGACACGATAAAAAACGTGGGCTGACCTTTCCTTTTGGCCAACACCTGTGGTTGGGGGTGTTTAAACAATTTTTTCCAACAGACCCTGCGAAGGATGACAAAACCCATGAGTTGCAAGCGGACCAGGAGACATGGCACATCATGGCACTCTTAAACACGTATATAAACTATTCCCTAGGGCTTCAAGTACCTCAGAAGGTATTTGTACCCTCTAAACCCACCCCAAACACGTTCCTAGAAGGTCCTTGGAACCCTAGGGATTATAAAAACTTATAGCCCTTCTATATGGTTCCAGTGGAAGAATCGGATCTTTAGGACCACCCCGCGCATCGAGAAGAGAAGGACCAGTTCAACAAACAATCTCCCCTTCGCATTGGTTGCCTCTGTGCGTGGGGCGAATGGTTGTTACTGCTTTTTGCTGGCGTCCCCCGCGACCAGCTGCTTCGATCCACCCCAGGTCCCGCAGTGCAGATAACCCTTATTTGAAGATCCAGGCCGCACCCGCACGGCACCGGCCCAGCGCGTCGCGGCGGTGGCGCCGAGTCGCGGCGTTCCAAACGGCACGAAGCCGGCGGACGGGTGCGGGTGTGTGTGACTGATCTTCGACGAAATGCTCCGGAGTTGATGGTGAGTTTGATGGTTTGGATATGTTTGGGTTTGGACAGCTTGCGACTTTGGGTGTAGGAAGTGACTAAAAAGTGGCTTGCCTCAAAAAGCGCTGAGAGTCCTGTTATGACTCATTTTACTATATGGGCGCCTATGGGCTGGTACTGGTCCGTTGTGACTCCCAGGCAAGGTAAACCAAGTCAACACGAATTTCTATAGGTTGTGGTGAACCTTGTTTTCATTGGCCGGTAGGAATCGCTTCCTTTTTGTCGGGGTCTTTCGCACTGCCATCCTGTTGCTCTTTCTCATCTCCGCAACGGGCCGCAAGTTGGGGTTTTGTGTGGTGGGGGATGGTCTCGAGAGGGAGCAGTACGTGTTGTTTCTGTATGTTTCTGTAAGAATTGTGAAAAAGACGTGCGATCCTAGACAGACAGCAGAGGTCAGGAGCAGCTACTTTCCTTCTCTACGGACAATTCTATGATATTCTATGGGTATTTGTGTGTGGTTTGAGTGTGCCGGGTTCACAGGTGTTCCGTGTGGCAGTTGTGGGAGATTGATTTCTGGAGGGAGAATCAAGGGAGGACTTGTTCCAAATGGTGTCAAAAACAGCGGGTTGCTGAACCACGCCTGACGAGCCTTTGAGGTCCAAGGGCAGATGAGGTGACTTGATGTCGGAATTTGGGTATCAGTGGCCCCAAGGCCCAAACAATATGCTTCCCAAGGTCTCAGAAGACGTCTCAACCTGTTGCCCTTTTTTCAAAGCCCTGGCTTTGGACCTTAGGGTTTCAAAACCCTAAGCCCTAAAAACCTTAGGGTTTCAGGTCAACGAGGAGCTGCTTAAAGAGATTTGGAAAGATGTCGAGCGGACCTTTCCCGTCGGGGAGACCTGATGTCGCGATGTGCATGTGCCGCGGCAACGAGCGCAGACGGTCTGAGCCAAGGAAGAACGTGGCCCGCAAACGGTATTCCTTAGAAGTAGTTATATATTATATTACTATTTATATATTACTATATGAAGTGGCAACTGGGATCCACTGGGCTTATTGTTGGAATGGTAGGAGCGAGAGTCGTTTAGGTGATTGGACAATATTGGCCTGGTGTTTTCATAGAAGCATTGACAGAGGTCATTAAGGCATTTGCCTGCTCGTAGATGGCCCTTAGAAACGGGTTCCTTCTTTGATTGGTGGTCTGGATTGGTGGGCAAGCAATTTTCAGAGGTCCATCTTGATGTGTGAGTGCTTTGTGTGTTGGCTCCTTCTTGGGTCAAGTGAGGAATCATGATGAACCTATTGAGTGCTTTTGGTGGGTGTCGTCCCCGAAAGCATCAACAGACTTGATGTTGACATGTCCACAGCAGGAAGAGACCGCAGAGTCACCATGAAAGCCCGAGGCATTTGGAGGAAACCATCGGAAATCGATTTGTGCAAAGAGAATAGAAACCTGTGTGGGCAGTTGTTGAAATGCTTCATATTCTAATGTTGCAAGTGGCACCCCCCAGCTCTTCTAGCTTGATACAAAGTGTTCGTGCACATTCCCCCTCATTGCTGTGTTTCTTGGTGGGATTTCTGAAAGCCCTCTCCCAAGCATGATGCCTGCGTAGAATTCCAGAAACCAACGCATCATCTCCGAGTTGTGAGTCCCACACGTCTTCTCCCGGCACCCGCACTGGCCATTTCAAGTCCCGACACCAAACCTTGGGCAAAACATGCGGTGGACGTTCCTATGATTTGCTTTGCGGCCCAAAACTCAACCAAGAGCACACCCCTGGGAAGAGGGACCGTCCAGACGCGGTGGCACGTCGAATGTTTGTGCCAGACACTCCATGTATTACATGTTTGCATAGGTGGTGGACCCGTGGTCATTGTAGGCATGTGTCCCATGGAGTGTTTGGGTAACAATAATAGACCGAAACCCATTTGGCCAGGGATCTCCCTATTAACATACCCATTTGATGTAGATAATCTTATTTCTATACCATGCACAATGTTGAATCTCATGTTGAATGTTATGGATTATTTGATGTGGTTTCCAACCGATACCCTATCTCTTCCATGGTGCTGGCTTTCAAACACAAAGCACCGATTGACCCCGCCCGTTGGTTTCGCGGCGACTGGACGACGGACACGTCCTGCTCACCTTGAGGAGTGCGAGTTCCTGTCCAGCCCTGAGAGTCGGAAGGCGGGCCAGCAGAGTGGGGCTGCCAGGGAGTTGGGCCTCCATCCTGGTGACCTTGATTTTGGAAGAGGTGACCTAACAAGTACAGGTATTATATAATCATCTTATGTGCTGGAGTAGATCGAAGATGGGAAAATCCACAGCAACAAATAGGAAACTGGTCATTTTCTTAGATTCAGGTAGATTGACCCAAACACTGAGTTAGATCTGCCCTACGCGAGGCCCCGGAAAAAAAAGGTTACAGTTGCTACGAACTTCAGGTGATGACCGGAGTTAAAACTTGGTCTCAAACCAAAGAAACACAGCTGCAAAGTACACTCCCCCCGAAAGAAGAGTCATGGTTTCGTTGGAGGGAACACCACCGTAGACGAGGGGAGCAGGGTCATGCGAAGTCGGGGCCATGCCATCCACTTCCGATTCCTTGACACTGGAAACCAGCCAGAAGGCGCTGGATTCCTCTTTGACCGTGAGCAGTCTTTGTTTGGAAGTCGAAGGCTCTAAGATATTTGGTATAAGGGAAGGCGCTTCGAAACTGTGGGGATCTATATGGTCGTGATTCATGGAAGCTCTTTCTCCCTACATACATTAACCCCACCAGTCCGTCCAAGCCATGAAGCTGGTTAGCTGACAAACAATGACAAACACCGTCCACGATCTCTACGTCGCGGCCTCCAAGGGATTCGCGCTGTCAGAAGTACTGTGATTTGTGTCCTTTCACTTCAAGCAGCGATCCGGACCCTACCAAACCTTTGGAGGGTCAAAAAAGAGCCCTACTCCAAACAGTCAGAATAGAACCCAAAACGGGTGGAAAAAAAAACCATGCCCCCTTTTGGAGCAGGGACCGAAACTTCTGCCAAACCGAACGGTCGATGACCAGAAATTCATCGCGTGACCCTTGTTGACCCTTCTCCCAAAAAGAATGAAAGGTCCTTTGAGTTTAGGGATATCTTCATGGGTTAAATGTATGTCACTATTCCAGTACTCTGGATGGTTTTGGCATAATCACACTATGGATTCTTTCGTGTGTAGCCTGTGTCCAACAAGCTTCAGCTGGCCCCCAGCTGGTGGAGGAAACAGAGTTGGAACAATGTCTCTACTTCCAGCTGTGGATGCATGGTTTCAGCTCGGGGTCTTGGTAGAAGGTGCCAAAACCGCTGGAGTGGGAGGCGGAAATTACTTCTTTCCATTGATGCGGAGTGTAAGAATTGCTCTTTGATCCACGTGGGAACATTATATAGTAGAGTGATAGACAGCTACACTCCCGAAAACTAACATAGACCCTGACAACCACCCCCTGAAAAATGGTTTTCCTCTACCAACCAGTGGTTTTCAGGATCCGTGTTTGTCTACCAGGGTGTATTTACCTTTGGCGAACCTTTTTTGTTGGGCGCGCTCTGCGCGCGCCTGCGCCTGGAACACTGCCTCCATTTCGATAAGCTCAGGCTGTGGCAGAGCAAGACTACACACACACACACACTCTTTATAAGCTTTCCATTGGGTTTGCTGCAGCCTCCAAGTGGGTTCCTTACAAACTTGCGACCCCCAGACTAGGCTAGAATTCACCAGGGACCATGCCCTTTGGCTCCAGGTGCTGCAGCGGATCCTCTTTCATTGGTCGACACCCCCAGTGAGACGAGGAACACGATGGGTAGAAGACGCACGGAAAGCACGGCACGGTCAGTGGTCCGACTGGGAGGCCGCGCTGTAGTGGATCAGTGTGCACGGCACAACCGTGCCCTGGCCTCGCAGGCACCCCCAAGTTGAGGTAAACATTCCGGCTGAAGATGCTGAAGACACTTTATAAAAGGAAGGTCTTGTTGGGTTATTATTATTTTGTATTGTATGGGTGAGGTTTATCCAGGTGTTGCTATATAGTTAGGAAGCAATTTCACTACGCTAATTCAGGTTGTCCCCCTTGCTTAGGAGTTGCGACAAGCGCGGCAACATGAGCCAGTTCGGAAATGTAATCGCCACGAGGTGTGCAGTCTGTGCACCTTTATATCCCTCCAACACTATGTTTACTGACTGTACTTGTTCCAGATTGTAGGGTGCCGAAAGGGTCTTAGAACTGTAGAAAGCCAATGACGTTCCTGTTTCTTGAGGGGAGGAACCTTTGGAGCAGTCAAACTGTGAAATCAGTTGTGTTAAGTACAGTTGTTGTTGTTTTTCAGAGCTAGACACAATCCTTTAAAGTCTACCTACAGCTCACTCCAACCCACTCCCACGACCCTGCCTTAATACTCCCAGTCCTTTTCATCCCAGTCCTGCAGTTCGTCCTTTCAACTGGATACCAAGGTGCCGTGCCAAGAACCCCTCCCGGGCAGCCTCCGAAAGCTATCGGCAAGGCACGGGGGTTCCGCCCTGTCGGACAAAGGCAGGGTGGACACCGTCGGCCCCGGTCGGTCAGGGATGACCAGAGGTGGAGACCGGATGTAGACCTCCCCCCGAGCCCGGATCAGGCCGGAAGAAGTGGAAGACCGAAACAATGATATGCCGCCTGCTTTTTTGTGCTGAGCGATTTTTGTGAAAACACACAAGGACGAGCGGTTTTCTCGCCACAGACGGGTCTAGACGGGTACGTCAACGCCACGATGGAAGGTCCGTCTTGCGTTCGTGGAACTTGGAAACTCCATACGATTGACTCAGGGTTTCATGTTTCTTGGCAGAATTTAAGGGATGGTGCTAGTCTAGCCGCAAAAGCAACGTTTTCTTTTTTTGCAGTTGGGTATTAATCGGTGTTGGACAAATTAACTGTGGCAGTGGGACTGAAAATAGCAGGGGAAGGCACTAGCAAAGACACAGCACTTCTGTGGAAAGTGAAGGGTTGCTATGTGGAAAGACTTACCCCAGCAATGGCATGAGACTGAAACCGCAAAACAGATCAAATCTAACGCATACAATCTTTAGAGAGACCATACTACCCAGACAATCCATGGGACTGAACAGGCATTCTTGCCTGACCCCACTAAACCCTTAAGCCTTGCGCCCGGACTGGAACGCCTGGTGGTAGGGGGCAAGCAGGCAACGAGTGCAAGCGGGATGCTGCGGGTCCGGCGCCAAAACGCGCTTTGACTCAGTTCAACCATCCCCCAAAAGCATCGGACTGGAAGAGTTACTTGCTCCATGGATGGGTCCACTTTCATGGGGAATTACACACGTATGATAGAGTATAGACATGAGAAACACAACACCATTCTTCCAGTTTCATGGTCTGCCGGTCTGGGGCATGACGGCGATCGGCATTCTGTGCCCATGCGTGCCGAACTGGACAGGCATGAACGAACTGGCTGCCGTGCTTTACTCCGTGATGAAGCAATGCGAGTCCGGAGAGCTCAGAGAGAGTCGTCGCCGCGTGGGGTGGTTGGTTCGACCGCCAGGCCTCGGCCTGGCGTGGGGTGGTTGAAGGATGCGGAGAAGGCCAAGGGTCGAAGAAAAAGGAACCATCTCGAAACGCTGCGAAAAGGTCTGATGGGAATCCCAACTATTTTATGGCAGTACCTCTATTTCAGAAATATCACTGAGCCTCTATAGAGTTCTTGAAGATGTTTTGTAAAGCACGGTTTGTTTTTTTTGTTGTTCCCATCGGACGGCCGTGGTCGGAGCCGGCGGGACACCGAGGTTCAAAGGCTCGGACTCTGAGGCCGATCGGACGGCCGGTGGGACTTGGTTTGGGTGGTGTATCTTGGTTTATGTTGGATTGGTTGGATGTTCAAGTCCTTTGCTTTGGGTTTTGTGTTTAGGACAGATTAACTACTGTATAGACTTAACCAGTAGTCTTGCTGTTTCATTGGTGCTTGGTATTTCATTGGTAACTATATGTTTAATTGCTTCCACCTCATGCTTGGACTGTCGGACAGATGGGCTAAGAACGACGGACCACAGAAGCCACGACTGGACCGAAGGATTGTGGCACACCCCAGAGGCTGCATAAGTATAAGGACACCAACTGGGAGGTTGCAAAGTTCAACACTTGGCCACCTTGGAAGATCGTGCTCATGCAACAAAGAACCTCCCATGAATGTTGGGATATGAATAACAGAATAGCAGGACCAGGACCTCATGTTGTTTCTGTTTCTTTATTGTTTCTTTATTGTGTCTTTGTGATTCTTTCATGCTCTCTTGGGACTGGCGTTTCTCGTGTCAAATCAAGGACTGAAGCTTCCAGAGATTCACTGGGACATGACAGCAACATGAGAGAGCTAGGACCGCACAGGAGGATGGCCCCAATGAACCTTACAGTTATGGCATGCTTTTTGTCCAATGGATATGACATGTCACATGTGTACTTTACATACATGGTGTGGTTCAGCAAAATAAATAGGTACCCTGGATCAGTGGGGTTTAGGATGGATTTGGAAAGAGTGAGACACCATGGTGCGGTGTGCCGAGGGGCAATTTGCTTGGTCAAGACACTTCTGGGAACAAGCCTAAGCTGGTCTCAAGAGCACTTCTCTCAGGCGCTGGGCGCTCGCCTGTGCGGAAGCAGCCACAACGAGGCGGCGGCGAAAGCCACGTGACCTGGTTCTTCAAATGGACCCTTTGAGATGTTCGCTTGAGGTCACTCAAGCCTCAAAGGGTCCCAAAAAAGCTCCTTTGAAGAAGCTAGGACGATCTAGGACGCACATGTTGGTCCGACCATAGAAACCACTCCAAAGATGATCATTTCCTCTCAAGACAGGTGTCATGTCTGGGCCCTACAATAGGCGTAGAGCATATATACATGTGTGAATTACACGCTGTGTAACATGCGGTTGAGATGACTTCGCACCATCCGGAGAGGGTGGGCTCAATGAGCGCAAAGCGCGCGGCCGCTTCGATTTCTATCGATCCCCAATTCGCCTGTGTGCTTCGATCCTTTTCGCATCTTGCTTCGGCATTTTGGTTTTGGATTTGCACCTGTGTCGGTGGACCTCGTTAGCCACTGGCATTTCTACATTGGTAGCGGAGCCCGAACCCGGTCTGGGTGAGGGCTCCCGCGCATTCCGCTACAACGACCTCGAGCTGATCGCTGGGACCAAGGTCTTCGTCACCTTCCCTCTGAGGGTTCCTTCCCGATCCTGTTTGCTGAGTTCTATTTGGAACACCCTACGGGGAGGATCTTGGCATCCGCCATTCCGGCGCATGTCACAGAAGAAGGGCCAACAACGTGGAAGAGGACAAGCCACACAACCCGGCTCCAGTTCGATGACATCCAAAGAGGAGAACAGCTACGCCGACTTACGGGACTCCTTCGTTCCACTGTTCTCGGGACAGCCAGCTGACTACAAAGAATGGCGACAGCGCATCCAGCTCTATCACCGGAAGATGAGCATTTCCAAAAGAGCTCAAGAAAGCGTGCTGAATGTTGTCGGCAGCTTTCGAGGTGCTGTCTGGCGCCTCTTTGAGGATTGGAGTTTGGAGCAACTCGAGAAGGACGACGCCTTTGAGAAGATGCTGGCAATCCTCGACGGCAACTATGCCTACGATCAGCGTGTACAGCTGCCAACTGATTTTGAAGGTTACTTCAATTTGTTGCAGCGCCAACCTGGACAAACCCTGCTGATGTATGTGGGCGACTATGAGGAGTCCTACCGCAAGCTCCTACAGCACAAGATCTCTCTTCCTGATCCTGTCCAAGGATGGCACTTGCTTCGCCGTGCATCGCTCACCAAAGAGCAAAGACAACTTGTCATGCTGAAGGCTCCCTCCTTGGAGAAACAGGCCGTCATTGAAGCGCTCTACCTGATCCTCGGTCAAGACTATAAGTCTGGTGGGTGGAACCATGACAGAAACAAGCGCTTCGGCAAGTGGTCTGGTCGAGCCTATGCTGCACATGATGAGTGGGATTGGGAGGAGGAACCATGGCCAGAAGACACCGGCTACTATGAAAATGATTGGCCAGTTGAAGAGTATGAAGAAGAGCCAGCCTTCGATGATGACGCTGGCTACTATGGTGAGGATCCCTGGATTGCTGAAGATTCCAACGAGACAAGCCCTGAGCACATGGCCGAAGAGTTTGACACAGCTTTTGCAAGCTATACAGATGCTCGTAAGCGGTTCAACGACCTCAAAATGTCCAGAGGATTCCTTCCGGTGGTGGCCTTGACCGACCAACAACAACCGATGACAGCTGCACCCACCTCATCATCCTCGAGCTCAACTACCTGGCGAAAAGGAAAGGGGAAAGGAGGCAAGAACAAAGGAAAAGGGAGCAACGTCATCCGGTATCCACCTCATGGTGCTGGAAAGTCAGATCCCAAGGGTCGTGCCAAAGCAGCGATGACATGCCTACGCTGCGGTCAACAAGGACATTGGGCTGCAAACTGTCCTCAATCGGTCTCACCAAAGTCAAGTGGCCAAAAGCGACCTGCTCCAACCGAAAGCATGGCTCAGGCTCTTGATGATGAAGCCCCTGAGATCACGATGCTGACCTTCCAAGACAGCGCTGGCAATGAGCGCCCGGACTGCGGCATGTTGGACCCTGGTGCTAGTGCCTTCCTCTCGGGATACCAGCCGTTTCGACGATACCTCCAACACCTACAAGAGTGTGGTTTCCCAGTGGAGAAGATCTGCATGACACAAGGTCGACGCCGATTCCAATTTGGCGGTGACGCTGCATCGTGGTCCAGCTGGTCGGCGCACCTGCCTGTGTTCGTGGATGGGCGCTATGGCACCATCCAGCTCTTTCTACTGCCCGGCAACACTCCCATGCTCTGTGGCAGGCCGATCATTGAGTCGCTCGGCATGACAATGGACTTCGCCATGAAGCGCATCCGTGTCGGAAGCTCTGGCGGGACTGAAGCCACTCTTGGCCGACAGGGAGAATATCTGCTGTCTCTCACCTCCGACCACGACTTCATTCACTACGACCCGGAGAGACCAGAGTTCACTTTGAGGACGGCTGAACCTGACATGGACCAGACTGACGGCTTCCTCCTTGCCGACTTTGAGCACTCCGAGCACGGCTTCGTGAGCCTTGACCAGGTCAACGATGAGCCCCACGAAGGCATGAGACAGCTCAAGCGCCACGAACTCAAGACCATGGACGTGCAGCTGACAACCTATCTGCAAGAGATGTCTGCCTATGTCACCAGTCAACTTCATCAACCAGAACAAGCAAAACAACGGGTCCTATGGGAAGTGTATTGTGGAACGGCTCGCACTTCCGAAGTGGCCGAATCATTGGGCATGACCGTTCGCAAGTTTGGTCCGGAGACGGGCTGGAACTTTGAGCTTCTTCACCACCAACAAGCCTTCCTCGATCTGCAGGACCAAGAAATGCCCGATGAAGTGCTGTTGGCACCTGAATGTAAGCTTTGGAGCCGTATGCAGACCTTGGCAAGACGCACACCAGCACAACAAGAGGCCCTCATGGCCGCAAGACAACATCACCATGATCGGCATCTCAAGTTCTGCCGCAAGGTCTACCTGAAACAGGTTGATGGTGGACGCCACGCCCATCTGGAGCAACCAAAAGAGGCTCTGTCATGGAAGACTCAAGCTCTTCGCTCCTTGCCCGGTCGATGTGCTGACTTCGATCAATGTCGCTATGGGGCCACCTGCATGGCTGATGATGGTCAGTGGCGACCAGTCCGCAAGCGAACCTCATTGCTCACTACGAAACAGGCAGTACAAGATGCGATGACTTTGCAATGCCAGGGAGATCACCAACACTGTGCCTTGGAAGGTTCTGCTCCTGGCTTCGGTGCTCGCACTCGCTACATGGAAGAGTACCAACCGGCAATGGCTAGCACCCTGGCTGCCGCCTTGAGCTTGGACGAAACACCTCAAGTTTGGGAACATGTCTTCGCCTCCGAAGAGCAGAAGGAAGTCACATCCAAGCTGGTGCAGTTGCGAGCAACCACGAAGCAAGACGCCAACGACTTCATCGAAATCTTGGTCACCCGGCACCTTCCGAGCTGACTGAACTCCTGGCTGCACGAGGAGCAAGCGAATCCATCCTGCAAGCTGCTCGCACTTATGTATGCATTGCCTGTGCCAAGTACAAGAAGCCAAATGGCACTGCACCCGCAGCTATGCCTTCCTCCACTTCGTTCAACCAGGTCCTCCAAGCAGATGTCTTTTGGATCCGGCAAGATGGCATCAAGTACCCAGTCATGACCATGATTGACCTGGCCACTCGCTATGTCTCTGCTTACCTGCTCAAGTCCGAACAGACCAATGACTATGTCAAGGCTCTGGAACGATCATGGATTGCACATTTTGGTGCTCCACAGCAGTTGATCACCGATGAAGGTCGCCCTTGGCTCAGTCAACACTTTGACGAATGGACAGCATCCCATGGCATTGAGCATGTAGTGGCTCCTGGAGAAGCTCACGAACGCTTGGCTGTGGTCGAGCGACGACATGCAGTGCTGCGGAAAGCTGTCGAGGTCTACTGTGACGACCTGAAAGTGAAGGGCAAGTCCGGTATTCGAGAGGCACTCATCCACTGTGTTCCACAGATGAATGCTGCACCTATGGTTGCTGGTTTTTCTCCATCACAGTGGGTGCTCGGCTATCAGCCACAGCTCGGTGGCAGTCTCCTGTCCACGAGTTTCAAGCCCTCGCACTATGGTGGCCACGAAACCTTTGAGACGATGCTCACCCGAAGATCTGCCGCACAGAAGGCTCTTGTTGAGGCTGATGCTGACCGTCGCTTTCGTCGAGCACTTGGTGCAAAATACAAAGGGCTCAATGCTGAGTATGCCCTTGGCCAACAGGTTTGGTTTTGGCGAGATCAACGACAACCTGATCTGGTGAAGATTCGATGGCTGGGACCAGCACAAGTGGTCATGAAAGAATACACAAAAGAAGGTGAACACCGACGACCACATGTTTACTGGCTGGCCTATAAAACTCAGCTCATCAGATGTGCACCTCATCACGTTCGTGCCGATGTCGTGTTGGGCATGTGCTCGATGATGTTCAAAAGGCCCTGAACTCAGTTCGGCAGCTGAGATCACGTGGAGTGACCAGATGCTACGATCTGCACAAGCTCAACAAGCACGACATTGTTGATGCGGAGGAGGATGAACACCGTGATGATCCCAATGGTGAGTTGGAGGAGGAATCCGATCATGAAATGTCTCCACCCCGACGACGACCACGGCTAATGATTCATGAGCCTCACCAGAGCGAACCTCCGATCGCTCCACCGACTGCCTCAACTCCACCAGAAGCATCATCGGCAGTGGCTCCCATGGATGATGATTACACACCAACATCACCGGCAGCTTCACAAACAGCGGCAGCAGCGGAACCGGCAGCTGCAGACACGGCAGCGGCAGAAACAGAACCACACGCAACAGCAGAGACAAACGGTTTGCCACGAGTGCCAAGTGAACTCCTCTCCATCTCCGAACCGAGTGAGGAGCCACCAGCAGCACAATCCACACCGCACTCCACTGTGGCACCTATGTCAACAACGAATGCTGAGCGAGCACAACCACCGATGCTGGATCCTCACACCGCATCGCTCTATGAGCCAGTTGATGCCGAGACCTTCAAACAACGACGACTACGCTTCAACCGTCAGGAGACGATGAGCTTTGCACCATTACGACCACGTCATTCGGCAGAGACTGCACCATATGATCCGGCTGGACGACCTGTGAGCTCAGCAGATGACACCTTTGAAGGACAAGCATTCTACTTGGACGACCTCGATACCAAGGTCTTGCCTGTCGGTTGGCACATGGACGAGCACGGCTACCTCCAGCTCACTGACCGGAACTCCGACTTCTGGGAGATCAAAGCCGGTTGTCTTATCCGACATCATTGTGTGCCACGACGAGGTCGCCTTCATATTGAGCATCTTCCAAAAGATTGCCCAGTTGACACTGCAAGGCTTGATCGGATTCGGGTGACACTCATCCACCAAGCCAACGGCAAAAGCAAGCTCCACACTGACTCTGGCAACGATAGTGCACCGCCTCCTGATGTCAACACCACTTGGACAGGAGCAACAATCTTCCAGATCAACGGGGAAACCCGGAAAGAGCTTGCCATGTACACTGGACATCAACAACATCAGCACTTCACCAGTGCGAAGCAGCAGGCCAAGGAACAGAAATTGGCCAAGATGAAGAAGTTCAAGAAGGAGAAGAATGCTGTTAATGAACGCTCGCTCGGTCCTCATGAGCGAGCGATGTTCAAGGAGGCGAAGGTGAAGGAATTGAAATGCTTCTTCGATCATCATGTCTGGGTCTTCGAAACCAAAAAAGAAGCTGATCCAGCCAGGACACTGACATCACGGATCTTGCTCAAATGGTCTCGCAACCCCGACGGAACTCCACGAGCCAAAGCTCGCCTCATCGTTCGAGGGTTTGCCGACCCTGATGCTCTGGCAGGCCGCATCGAAACATCCAGCCCGACGACCACACGGCTCTCCAGGTCAGTTGTCCTATCGCTGGGGGCGACCATGGGCTGGACAACTTGGACGGCTGATGTGAGCACCGCCTTCTTCAAGGTCGTGAGCAAGACCGAAAGCTGTGGGTCAAGCTTCCTGCTGAAGCCTTGGCGCTTCTCGGCGCCGATGAAGAGACTCGAATGCTCTTGTTGAAGCCCTGTTATGGACAGATCGATGCACCACGCGGCTGGTACCTTGAAGCTGTTGACCGACTCCGTCGTGGTGGACTTCGCCAGCATGCCTTGGACCCATGCGCCTTCCTGATCTATGAGACCGACGATGTGAACTACAATCCCGAAGACCCGGTCCATGCGAAGGTCAAAAGCTTGGGGCCGCAAAAGCTGGTTGGCATGGTCATCATGCATGTGGATGACCTCCTTGGAGTTGGATGCATGGACAGCCCACGATATCGTTCTGTGGTGGAACAGCTCAAGGCCAACTTCTCATTCAGGGAATGGAAGGAGAACCAGGACAGCCTTGAATACTGCGGCTGCGAGATCGAGAAGACTCCTGAAGGAGGCCGAAAGATCCACCAGACCAAGTACCTGGAGAAGGTGATGCCCATTACTGTGGACAAGAAACAGTCACCAAATGATGGTCTTCGTGAACGTGAAGTCACACAACTCCGTGGCCTGTTGGGGTCACTGCAGTGGCCGGCAGTTCAAACATCACCACACTTGCAATGCAGCACCAGCTTGCTCTCCGGCCTGGTCAACAAGGGAACGATCCAAACACTCATGGACACCAACCGCCTTCTCAAGTTCGCCAAGGAAAACAAGGACATAGGCCTCACCTACAACTACATTGGTGAGTGTGAAAGCCTGCGGTTGCTGTGCTTCTTTGATGCAGGGTTCTCCACCCGCAACGATGGATCGTCCCAGGGCGGCTACATCCTGATGCTCACCAATGGCAACCTCATGCACTCCGACGAAGAAGGCCAGTACCACGCGCTGGATTGGAGGAGCTTCAAAACTCCTCGGGTTGCCAGGTCATCACTTGGAGCGGAAGCACAGGCTGGCGGTCAGGCCAGCGATGCAGTGGACTTCACTTGCCGCTACTGGCACCATCTCCTTGAGCCGGACATGGCATTGAAGGACCTGCTCAACATCAGGTCAACTTTGAAGCCCGTGATGGTCACGGACGCCAAGGCATTGTATGATGCCTACCATCGTGAATCCGCAAGCTCCTCGGTCATTGACAAAAGAGTCAGTCTTGAGATCCGAGTCATGAAGGAGCGCCTCCAGGAGATCGATGGTGTTTTGAAGTGGATGAGCAGCGACCGACAGATTGCGGACGGCTTGACAAAGGAAGCTGCACGTGTTCTCTTTGCAACTCGCCTTCGGCATCAAAAGCTGAAGTTGACGTGGGACCCCTCCTACAAGGCAATGAAGAAGAAAAGCAAGGGAGAGAAGCTCAGCGCTTTGGCTGAGACCACCTCGGTGCCAAAAGCTCCTGTGCATGTTTGGCGCCAACAACATGAAGAAAGCTACATCCCCGAGTCCGAGGAGGTCCAAGAGAACCCGGCAGGTGACCCTCACGAGAGTGTCAACTTTGTTGGAAATGCCCTCGCTGTCACGTATGTCTTCGCCACAGCCCGCCATGTCGAAAGCCGCAAGAAGTATGTGCACACCGGTCGCATGTGAAGAAATTCTTGTTTTGGCTTGGTTGTTTTGCAGTGCTCTTCACCTCCTGCCATGCTGCAGAAACGTGCGATGATTCTCGCGCTGTGACCTCAGAGCCTGCGAACGACGATGGCTGGTTGTTTTGGTTGATTTTCCTCCTGCTCACGCACCTCTTGGTGATGGCATGCAGTTGTTGTGTTTGCAAGTGCCTGCACTGGGCACCTGGAAAAGCTTCGAATGCAGCTGGGGTTCAAAAGGACGAGGCCATTGTCCCGGCCCGTCTCCGTGCAGATCTGGAAAAGGAAAAGCTGAAAGGTGAGGAATCCCAAAAGTCTGCTCGGGAGGCCCGAAAAGCCTTGGACCTATGCCTGATGGAGACGCATCGGTTCACGGCTGAGATCTTTGACCTCAAAGCCCTGGTGAAAGATGGGGCGATGCTGATGCGCCGCACTGAAGCGGCCATGGACAGGCACATGGAGACCTGTCCCCACAGAGTTGTGGTGATCTCCTCTCGTCATGGAGATTGCTGGCACTACCCGAGCTGCCACATCGTTGAGCAGATGGCGGACCGCAACCGCCAGTCTTTGCGCCAGTGGTGCCCTTTGGATGTCAGGGATCCATTGCTCGGAGGGACGCTTCGAGCTGAGATCCACGCTTGGTTCGCCGACGCCGATTTGTCGGCGGACTAGCTTTTTTTTACCACTTTCCTCCCGTGTGAATTACACGCTGTGTAACATGCGGTTGAGATGACTTCGCACCATTCGGAGAGGGTGGGCTCAATGAGCGCAAAAGCGCGCGGCCGCTTCGATTTCGATCGATCCCCAATTCGCCTGTGTGCTTCGATCCTTTTCGCATCTTGCTTCGGCATTTTGGTTTTGGATTTGCACCTGTGTCGGTGGACCTCGTTAGCCACTGGCATTTCTACAACATGTTTAAAGACCCCACTGTGTCCATCTTTTGGAGACAGTTTCTCAGACATCGCAGCACTCAACACTTTCTCAACATGCTTCGTTCTGCACTTTCGCAGGCCGATACCTTTGCATGCTTCGTTCACCTGATGGACAAAGGGCCCGGCGACCTCAGAGCGAGCGACCGTGGACCCGCAGGACGCGCCGAGGTCCCGGGCGGGTTGGCTCGGCCGTTGCAGAGGGAGCTGAGCGCGGGGGGGGGCCCCTTGAGAGACGACCTGGCTGTCCTTATAGGAGAAAAAAAACATGGATTTTGGATGTGGCAACCTCTATTTTTAATGGAAAAACCCAGCCGGGCCACTGGTATACCTGGGAGTGTTTGGCCGGTCTCGGTCTCAGTGGCTTCGGAGATCTTCCGATGCTTCGTCTCAAGTCGGTGCTTGGTGGGAGCCCAGGTGTTTTGCCGATATTTAGAACGCACTGGAATTGCCCGGAATGGGCTCCAAGCACCTCCAAAGGGAGTTAGACCTTGTCCATCTATAAGCACTGTTTCCAGAGGATCTGGTTGGTTTTGGACTGGGCGACAGTGGACTCAAAGCGGTGGGAGCCGATGGGGTTTCCAGTTACTGGGCATGGTGACATGGTATGAGCCAGCACCACCCAGGTCGGGTGGTTCATTAGACCCTTCTGACCACCCTAGCTGGGTGGTGGTGTATTTTCTGCCAGTTTAACTTGCGCTCTGGGGATTCTGTTCAAAGATGGGCGCCCACTCCGTCCCTTCCTCCATCCCTCCGACCTGAAGACCCCCCGACCTGAAGACCGCGCCGCAGGCTGCGACCGATGTTTCTGAACAGCACCGCGAGCCGCCCCGCGCGCTCGCCGATCGGCGAACTGCCGCGTTGCTGGGCGATGTATTGTGAACATCGGTGGGGCGGGCCGGTGGGGTGTACGCACGGGGGGGGGTGAACAGCCGAGCATTCTTGGAAAGAGAGTGACAATTACTATACCAGGGGCTCCAGACTATGGCCAAAGCAAAGTTTTTTTTGCAATAACCCGGTTTTGGACATTACTAGTTCAGGGTTGGGAGATAGCGTCTACAATCTACAATACCCGGTTACGGCGCTGGGTACTGTAGGTATATACTTTGTAGTTCGACCGATACACAGCTTGAGGTCGCGGCCTGGTGAGCTACAACCATCCAACATAAGGATTTCATGTTCTCAAGTTTGGGCCGTTGCTTGGTTTGGTCGCGTTTTTCATTCTTGAGTTGCCAAGAAGGAGGAAAAGGAGGAAAAAGACACTCTCACAACATTGGTCCAATGTCCTGGTTGTATTTTTGGGTTCGGAACGAATCGAAGGATCTGAAAGGTGTCCGTTTGAAAGAACGTTTGGCTCCGTGGATTGGTGGGATTTTTGAGGCGGTACTTGGAGGGTTGGGGTATGATTCTTCCTTTCCAAAAGACGATCCATCAAACTAGGCGATCCATGGATGGCCTATACGATGATGATGGACGGTCTGATTCGGGGTAAAGGTTGTCCCAGGGAGCGGTAGGATGTGGGTTTCGGTCGATGCATTCGCTTACTGTATGACTAATGGTGGATCAACTTCCGTCACCCCACGCAGCTGCCCGGGAAGCTGGTAAAGGCTTCGGTGGTCAGGTACGTGAAATGTCCTCTGAAATCTCTTTTGATTGAACATGACTTGCCAAGATCTTCTGGCCAGGATAGCTTCTGACCTCGAGTTATGATTGGATCTCCCCAAAACTGCGTACACTCCCCAAAACTGGAATTCTGAGAATGGCACCCGGGTCGTCCGACTCTTTTCCTCTAGCTGCACCAGTGTGATTTTAGGATCCATGTGAGTTTTCGACGGGGTATATAGCGGATGGTTCCCTGTCCATCGCGGCTCTTTCTCAGTCTCTTCACCCCTCGATTTGGAGATCCGATTCGCATGGGAATGTTCCACCTGGCGGAGGATCTGTTCCACCTCTCCTCCGCCGCGCCGAGGCTCCCGGGGAGGCGCCTCCGATTCAGGCGCCGGCCTTCGCGAGCCGCGACTCCCTGCGACGGGGTCAACTCTGATCAGTCGACGAACCGCGCGCGGGCGGCCGGCCTGCCTTTCTGGTGGACTCACCAGGCAGTTTCACCCGGACCTGCATTCGATTCCCCAAACAAGTCGGACACGGCATCCAGAGCATCCGAAATGCCCTTCCTTTGCGCCTTAAAAAGAGAGTTTCTTTCCACTGGACCGAAAAAAGGGGGAAGTCATTTCCTCTGGACCCAAAGGAGCTATTTGGACGGAAGTCAGATGAGTTGTTTTTTCAAAGATGGTTGGCAATAGAGGGTCCGATCCACCTTCCAGGATCCGTTCAAGTCACACGTGTTTGCTCGCGTAGCAGGCTCTGCGATCCTGGCGCGGTGCTCCTTCATCTTCGACCAGGCAGGGCGCTGCATGGCCTCCGTCGCCGGTGGTGAGTGGAAGAAGGGTTGGACTGGCTAGCAGCTACTGGTGGTACCATCTATGAACATACCATCCGTGCATATCCGTGTTATCCTAGCTGTGTTGCAAGGCAAGATCCATATGGACCAGGACTGATGCCTGTTTTGCTGGCAAAAACTTTTGCAAGCACCAAGCAAGGTTCAGGATAGGCATGGTAGGGGGAACCTAACGAACGAATGCCCCATCGATATGCCCTGAAGATGGGCCTATACCCCGACAAGTGTAACCTATCAAGAAGCTCCATCACGAAGCCACACGTGCTCACAATATGAGCTAACAAAAATGCTCTATTCCCGCTATGTCTATCATTGGACGCAACGTCCATGGGACTGCCATAGTTGCAGTCCCATTGGGGTGGTTGAAGAGGGGCCATTGTACATATGTTAAATATTCCATGCATGGAGTGTCTGGATATAGTAACATGGACCTCATATTCATCTGATTCCTGGTGAAAGCCCAACAGTCCCGCGCCCACGTGACCGACAGGTCGTCCGTGGCGTCCAGCCTGACCTCTTCGACCATTTGAAGAGGCGAGGCTGATCCGTCGTCACGGCCGAGGAATTGTTCTGCAAATGCGTAGGCTGGACGTGGGCAGTCTGAGCAGTCTGAGCAGTGTTGTATTTGTGTCAGAGCTATATTTGATATAACATTCACTGAGGCTGTTAATAGTCGCCTACCTCACTAGATTTGGGCATTACCAATGCGTTGTGGCAACCACCCCCAAATGGTAAACATTAGGAAACTTCACAATGTGTGGTCCTTTTCACTTGCCCTTTTACAAAAGCCTTTGTCATGTCCAAGGACATCCATAAAACCTCAGCATAAGATTATATTTTTGATGTTCCCTTCCAACACGCACATTTTGCCTCAGGGTTTTGCAACCTGACACCGGTATTGACGGTATTGCCCCAGGGATTTTATCAATTTCAAACCAGACGGGGATAACTAAACATGTTGGTAAGTAGACCACCTGTTCGTTTTTACACGCAACAATATGGCAAATCAATCTGTGGTCTGTTTGTTGTTTCGTTTTGGGACACAGATATCACGCTGATGTTGACGGTTGATGTCCCATCGAAATGGTTGGTTGACGTGTGGGAGGGATCCAACGAACCTTATCGTGGGAAAAAGTTTGACGGATAAACGACGCTTTTGTTCGGATCGAGCGCGAGGGGTGATCCTGGATGTCCGTAAAGTGGTCGAAGCACCGCACCCAGTTAGGCATGGTTTCCACTTGTCTACACCTTCACCCACCTTTTCGGACAGTTCGGACTGTGGCGAAACACGTGTTGCGGTGGATTTACACGCCCTGAAACACACATGGAAGTGGACAATCCCCTGTTGGTAGTGGAAAATGATACGTGTCCACCTTGCGCAATCCCTCCAAAAACCTATTTATAGAACCAACCTCTCAAACCAACTACACCCCAATTCATCTAACATGAAAACACAAACCATCGAACACCTGTTTTGCTCCCAAACCCAGGGGCGTCCACAAGTCACCGATACGTTGTCTTGTCACTTGGTTTTTGGTCGCCTTCCACGCGGGTCCGCATGGGGTCACGCGACCCGGCTTCGCGCCGAGCTGTGCTGTGGAGGTTGGAGATTGAGCCTCAGGTCTTCCTCCTGAGATGGATCCGTTTGCTCTTCTGTCGAGAGTTTGACCTCGAGGAGCTGCTGAGCTGCCGGATCGAGCTGTCCGGATCGCATGGACTGGATGGACCACGGTATAGTCATCCGAGATATCCAAGTCCAACGGTTTTGGGGACAATGATGTCATTGGTCATGCATATGTCGTTTCATCTCAAGGATGGCGAGTGCCTGCAAGGATGCAGCTTGGTCAGCGAAAATCCACTATAGTCACTCGTCCTTTCTTAGCTTCGTTCCCGACCTCCACCGGTGGCGCGTTGGGCTCAAGTGTGTGTGGGTCCGAAACACACCAACTCATGGAGCCAATAAGCTTGCAGGGGCCCTGCTGGGGCGGTTCGAACACGCCGCTTACTTTCACATCAACGTACACTCTATGAAGCCCAAAACCCGTCATTAGCGTCACGGTGTTTAAAACGTAGCAGTCCAACGAGTGCACCAGAATGAGACAGCTGCCGGGTACCCGGGAGCTGTTCTTCAGAACAGGCACTCGAGCTGGCGAGAAGGTCAGACTTTGCCCCCAAATCCTACAGAGTTGCATTATAGACATCACACGGATGTATAGTTGACCTATGTGAAAAGACACCCCTCCACACACGGCATAGACGGCTTGGGATGGCAAGGTCTGACGAGTCCAGAGTTTCATGGGGTTCTCCTCCTCTTTGCAGCAGCTTTTGACATGTTTTGATCCTTCGGGTGCAAACAGCCGTGCCATGCGGAATGCCATGTGGCACAGAGCTCCTGGATCCAGGTGTGGTGGCGTTGTCCCAGATCCGGCTTTGGGCGTGGGCTGGGGATTGCTGGGCCCATGGTTCTTTCTCCACTTCAGATTCTTTCAGTGTTCAGGTCTCCTTGGGCCTCATTCTTTCTCACCCAAACCCAATGCCTTTCACCTCGCAGATCTCGCGGATCTCGTTGCTACATGACTGACGTTTTGCCCGGACCGAAGAAAAACGAACCCACAGTTGGAGGGGGTGTTAAAACCGTGGAGCCAAGATTTTGGGGAACATGTTCCATATTTCCAGCATACTTCTCGGAGGAAGGATCATTTTATAACATTTTCTAGCATGTTACAGTGGAATCACACAGGACAATCCTCGCCAGGACTGGGGTAAGAATAATTTTTGAAGGTGGTGCTTTCCACAAGTTGAAGACATACAAAAAAACAACAATGAAAGTCTTGCCTTTCTTCATTTCTGGCTCCGGCTGTTCCGGGTAGTTCTTGCCAGCCTCTGAGATCAACTGGATGAACTCCTTAGTTCTGAGCGGTGTCACCGGTTGTGCAGTCATATGGGATGACCCATGGGTCTCGAGACCCATGGGTCTTTCTCCAGTTCCTGGGGTTTTCAAAAGGACTTGGAGGAGCCCGTTTCAGTTCCGGCCTTTCTTTGGGGAGGACCGGACGGCCACACGGATCCATCAGTGCCTGTCTTAGCAGATGGCGCTGCGCAACCATCAACCATGATCCAGCCATGGATGGTCAGAGGGCAGGAAACATGACCAGTCAGAGAGTAGGAAACTTGAAATCAACCATCATCCCTTGAAATCATCTCTCTTTGAAGGTCCTGGGCCACCAGGCTTGAAATCGGACATCAAACCCATCATCCACTGCACTCCACATCCACACCTCCTCTTACAGTCTCCCTCGCCAGATCCGGCCTCTTTGCAGTGGCCTGACACCGAGTTCGACTCCGAACGACGGATACCGGGGTGGGACCACGAAAGGCCTCATGTCGAGGCCTGGAGGCCATCGCTACTAACAAGAAGCTACAGCGACGCAGCGACGCAGACATTTGATTGTGATCTTATAAAACCAAAAAGCATCCTGCTCCTTCTCCTGTGACCTTTAAAGAGGGGGTTTGAAGTGTGACATCCTTCCTTTCCAGGCGAACCAAAAACAGAAACCCTCAGGGTCACTGACCTTGGAGGCGAACCCTGCAGCGTTCCAACGTCTGTGCCGGGCCAACGGGCCGCGAACCGCGGCGTGCGACGCCGCGAACGGTAATATATCCAAACAAAAGAAAAAAAGAGGCACTGTCCCAGCCTTGAAGGCTGTTCCCAGCCTTGAAGCATCTTCAAAGATGCACTTAGAAAAAGGCAAGATACAATCATTACAACTCTGGGTGAGACCTGGTTGGCATTGTCTCTCGCCTTCTTTACTGCCTACATACTCTCGCCACGACTCCGTGCCTACGAGAGTTGGCAGCTCAAGATCATCTCACCATATCTCCTGAGTCCCGAAGCCATGTTTTGTTCAAAGGAGCAAGGTTTGGAGTGAGGGTGACCAGGGTTCGCCAACCTGTGCCTCGCTGTCGACTTCGTCTTCGCGTCGGCCGCGAGTCTTCTCTCTTCGAGGTCGCTGGAATCTCATGTGTGGCGATTTGCTTCACAGGTGCGGAAAAGGGCAGCGAAGGGGTGCTTAGAGGCTTTGGGAGAAGGTCAGATTGTCAGATTTTGTTCTTGGCAGTGACGGGGATTGTCGTGTTTCTTGGAATAGACTAAGTAGACTCTCCAGTGCAGAATGCCTGGTAGTAGGGGGTTCAGCAACACTGTCATGTCAGGTGTGAGGGTTGGATCCAGATCCATCACCCATTAGAGTTTGACTCTCGGTCTCTCTTCGATCACGGCTGCTGTTCTCTTGCGTGAAACTCCGCCAGCGGCTACATTTCGCGGAGCTTGTATCATGACAACTTTTCTCCAGCGCATACAAGTAGTTGTTCAATCCAAACCGATGGCCCAACAATGACTGCCCTTTGTCAGTCCAGTTCGACTATATTCTGACTGACTGAAGTAAAGGACATTCCTAGACTCGTGTCACCCAGTTAGACCATTCTTTTTATATCTTGTTATAGTCTCACCGACTTCCATGGACTGGGCCACTTGTGACTGGAAGACTTGCAGATGTTGCTTCCTTGTACCATGTTGTACCGACACGTGGAGGCTCGGGGAACCGGTGCCGGTTCCGGTGATCGTTCCCAATCACCGGGCGTCGCGGACGTCACCGGGCTTGGCGAAGCTGCGCGAATTGGTTCGGTCGTTCGCTTGGTGAAGCTGCGTGTTCGGAAGCTGCTCAAGATCTGAGACCGAACCATGAACGACATGAGGCCAAGAACAACTCCAAGCTGAAATGGGGCTGACCATCTCAAAGCAACTAGTACAATCTGGGATTTGGAGGGTGTCATCAGGATCTAAGCAGATCCAAGCATTTCATCTGGGTATGGGTCTTTCAACCCAGGTTGCAAGACGGTCGTGCCATGCGACAGTGCTGAGCTGCTCTCCATGATCTTCATGCGCCTCACGCGCATCCTCCTGACACTGGCCTCCACCTCCGACTGCCACGGACACGATCCTGCCGATCCAGTGAGCCTGCTGCAGCGCCGACTGCGTCCGGACACGGACGAGGTCGGACAGCGGCATGATGCCGGGGCCGACGACGACGAGGACGTGGACGATGAAGGTGAGGACAGGGCGATCACCAACCTAACAGCTGCTCAGCATCAGGGTGAGGAGGCCGTTCTTGGGGGGCCGGAGCCGAGGCGAGGATGGTCCTGTTAGGGCGACGGACGACGGACGACGGGGCGGTAGAAAAGCCAGGAGCCAAGGGCCGAGGCAATTCTTGGCACTTCTATGGACAAGTCTCTTGGTGGTTCTAGACCTTGCTTGGTGCTGACCTTCTAGATGGTTGGGTTGATAAAGCGAGGTGTGTTCTTTCCTGTGTTCTACACGCAGGCCATCCCTATTTTGTGGAGCAAGAATCAATCCCCAGAGTCCATCTCGGGGACCTGGGACCTTCCAAATAGCCAACCAGACAGGTTTCTAGGATTTGTGGCTCTATGGAGAGTCGAGGCAGGAGCTTGGCTCAGTGACATGGAGGATGGATGCAAACTGATATGGCTAGAAGTTTGGTCCACTGGAGTCTCAGTTCGTACCTCGGAAAATGGGTACCTGTTTGAATGGGGTCATGTCCCATTTTCTGAGGTACTGGGTCAGTCGGGTCCAGGTATCATGCGTGGCCATGACGCATTTTCTTGATGCGTCGCTCCCGGGGAACAGGCGTGCCACTACCCACCCCTGCAGTTAAGGGGATGAGCTTGGGTGTGGACCATTCAAACACATTCAAACACCACATACACTTTCCTCAATCCCATGACCAACTCATGCCCCAATGCTAATTCCCCCCCGGATGACACCACAAAGACCTTAATCCTTCCAGGGGCTGCTCAACCAATCCCTACCGTATAGCAGTCCGTATAGCCAAAACCTGTGACTCGTTTCCGTCCCTGGATCGGATGTTCATTGCCATGGTTCACTTCTTTCGGGGATCACCTGTGCTCCCGGTGCTTCTCAGGGGCACACGCAGGTCCCAGGTCTGGAGAACATCCAGATTGGCATGGATTCCCCCATGGCTTCCCCCGAATTCATGTAGACTCTTGATAAAATAACGCCCCCCCATATGGAGAGGTTGGATGGGGGTTATTCATGAAAACCATTGAACACCTATAAACCCTAAACCCATTGATTCCTCGTTCCAATCCCTTCACATGACCAGTCGGACTCGTGACCCCCGCGTGACGGGCCACCGAGGTGTCCGACGGGCGCTGTGAATCCTTGGGCCATCGCTGGTCCACCTGGATGCCAGTCAGCCCCACACTCTTGCCGGGCGTCAAGACACGGAGCGTGGATGGCATCAAAAGCACCTGGCTGCTGGAAACAGCTCCAAAATGGATTTGTAGCCTGGAGATATCCAGCACGGAGCAGGTGAAGTTTCGAACATGAAAGTGGAAAACCACCTGTTTGTAAAGGAAGGTAGTCTTCCAAGGGGCCATGTTCCACGTCACCAGGGAGTGTATTGGTTGTGTTGTCCCGGGGCCTCGGGGATCACTTGGTCGCTTGGGGAGGGCAAAGTGCAAGTTCAATCTTGCTTCTCTCCTGTAGGGTAACTAGGTGATGGTTTCGGATATTTTTATGTTCAACTCTTACTTGGGGATGATTGGACCCTTTGACTAATATATTTTTCAAGTGGG